TAATAAAATAGACTAATACAATTATTTATACTATGTGTCAGATACTGTTCTGAACAAACATATTAATTCACTTAGTCATTACAAAAGTCCTTTGAGGTAAGTACTATTACCTTCATTTGATAGATAATGAAAATGAGGAACAGGGAAGGTCAGTAACTGAAAGTCACAGGGTATTAAAGTAGTAAGTCACTATAGAAAAAAAATTAAAATATAAAGAAAAGTGGAAGGAAGATGAAAAATCCACAATCAGATCGAAAAGAAAAAACCAACATTAAATGTTTAGACACCTCTCCTTTTAGTATTTTCTTTCAATGCACTCCAAAAATCGAAAGCAACTAAATATACTGTGTGTTTTTCACTTACAAGCATCTACTTATGTAATCATAAATTCATTGTGAACATTATTCATAACATATGCATAGTGTTGTTTAATTTAGAAATGCCATCATGGACTTAAACAATCCCTATTGTTAGGGATTAGATTGTTTCCTCTGTTTTTCTAAGTATGTTTTTAAAATAGATAACCCATTTACATTGTTCTAAAATCAAAAAGTATAAACTTTTATAATGTAAATCTCCTTCCTGCCTCTCCCCTACCAACAGGTAACCAAGGACATTTGTTTTTAAAACTAGAGATTTTTTTTTTTAAACAACTATATAATATCCCATTCTATTACTATATACCAGTTCTCTACTGATGGACATCTGGTTGTTTCAAATCTATTGCTGATATAAATATTTCTGCAGTAAACAGCCCAGTATACAGGTCTTTCCTAAAAGTGAGACTGAATCTTCAAAGAAATTTATAGAAATAGACTTGCTCGATTAGCCAGCAAGAGCTAATTAGCCTTCCAAGAACACAAAGATCAGTTTTCTCAAGGGCAGGAACATTCACTATTTCTTTTATGTATCCTTACACAGAATGGTTATGGCTTCCATAGATACAGATGTACAGATGCGAGAAATGTCAAATAACATCTCCACATAGTTTCCTTCAATTCTTTAAACTTTCATATTAGTTGATTTTACATCCTTGTCTAGTAAGTCCAACATCTGGGCCTCCTCAGAGAGTTTCCAATGACTGCTTTTTTTCTGAATAAGGAACACACTTTCCTGGTTTTTTGCTTGTCTCAAATTTTTTGTTGCAAAGTGGACATTTTAAATAATAATATGGTAACTCTGGAGATCAGAGCACTACCCTATCCCCTGGGTTTGCTGTTGTTGCAGGCTTTTTGGTGGTGGTTGATGCTGCTGTTTGTTTCTCTAGTGATTTCCCTGGATGAATTCCCTAAAGTCTGTATTTCTTGTAGTGTATAGTCACAGAAGTCTCTGGGCACCTAAATAACTGGGCAGAGGTTTCCTTCAGTGTTTTGAACCAATAGGTTTTCCATCCCTTGCCAAGGGGCTTGGTGTGTGACTGGACACGCCTTCAACATTCAGAAAGTTTATATATCCGTCTTAGCCTTCACTTGCTGCATGCAAAGGAACTGAAAGACAGCCAGAGATGAGAGACTGGGGCCCTCGCAGGTCCTTCCTGGGCATGCACACAGTCCTGCACACATGCATAGCATTCTCGATCTCCAAAGCATTTCAAAGCCCTATGGACATCTCATTCCCCAGATCTTCCTTTTAAATTTTTGGCTAGGGTTTTGTTTGCCCCAATTGGTACCACAGACTCAGGAAGCTAAAATGTTAAACAATTACAGCTGATAATTTTACACAAATGCCCTGGAAATGGAGCTTTTCCCACACAGCAATCTCTGAGGAAGGTCAAATAACAAATCCCTGGAATGGAGCTGTCTCAAGAAGCTGCAAGACAGGTCAAATAGCGACAATGTTCTGGGGATAAGACTTTTTGAGGAACTCAAAGCCAGTCAGCTCTTCTAGTGGCTACAAGGCTGCTGGTTTTCACAGCTACTGTGGTTACAAAGCTGCTGGTTTTCAAGGCTACTGTGGATCTGGAAAACGGGGAATGAGAGTAGGCCAAGTTAAAATGCCACAAATCCTACTCCTCTTACCAAGGTAGGCACTGTGCCAGGCACTTCACTTCTGATATACCTTTAATCTTCAACTACCTTATGAGGTTAGAACAATTATTACCTTATTTTACAGAACAGGAACTGGAGGCATAAAGAAGTTAAACTAGCTTTTGCCAGGTCTCACGGCTAGTAAGTGACAGTGTTGGTTTATGAACCATAACCTGTCTGATTCCAGAGTCTACTCTCAATTATTGTGTTATGTACAGTAGTTCCCCCCATTCAGGGTTTTGCTTTCCACAGCTTCAATTACCCTCAGTCTGAGTCAATTACAGTCCAAAAATATTAAGTAAAAGAATCCAGAAACAAATAATTCAGAAGTTTTAAATTGCATGCTGCTCTTAGTAGCACGATGAAACCTCACGCTATCCTGCTCTATCCTGCCCCAGATGTGAGTCATCCCTTTGTCCATCATCTCTGCGCTGTCTACACCACCCACCAGCTAGTCACTTAGAAGCCATTGACTGTTATGCTATCGTAGTACTTCTGTTCAAATAACCCTTATTTTACTTAATAATGGCCCCAAAGGACCTGAGTAGTGATGCTGGCCACTTCAGATATGCCAAAGAGAAGCCAGAAAGTGCTTCCTTTAAGTGAAAAGGTGAAAGTTTATAATAGGAAAAAACATAGTATATATAGGGTTCAGTACTATCCATGGTTTCAGGCACCCAGTAGGATTCCTGGAGCAGACCCCCTGTGGATAAGAGAGGACTACTGTACTACCTTTCACTTGTGAAAGGGTAATTCAGTGAAACTAGTCAAAAGTGTAACTGAATATGAATTCACATGAAGGAGATCAATTACATATAAGTTTTATAGTGTATTCACACATGGCTCCTGTTCTCCTCTGCTCAGTCCAATAAATAATCAATGGGCCAGGTGCAGTGGCTCACTACTGGAATCCCAGCGCTTTGGGAGGCTGAGGTGGGAGGATCACTTGAGCCCAAGAAGTCTATGAGCTATGATTGTGCCACTGCTCTCCAGTCTGAGTGACAGAGTGAGACCCTGTCTCTTAAAAGAAAAAAAAATTATTAATGACTTCTTTCACTAAATTAGCTGTTCTTAATTATGGTATGGATCATATGGAGCTTTTAAGAATACATTTGCAAAATTTCCCTCTTTCCTTATGCTATCTAGGATGGAACACAGATGTCTGCACTTTTAAAATTTCTATAAAGCAATTCTGAAACTCAATCCCAGCCAAGAACCGCTGCATTAAACTACATAATTCCTTAAAGTTAGTATTATATCAACTATTTCAACACCTAATTTCTGTAACAGGTGTTTACAGAGAAAAGACACTTCTTAAAGAAAATAGCAGACAGAAAATGGCAGTTGTTTAGGAGTTAGACTTAGGTTTGAATCTGAGCCCTCTTACTTGCTGCATGTATGACTAGGGAAAATTAATTTTTCTGAGTCCTTAGTTCTTCATCTGTAAAATAGAGGGTTAAAAAAAAAATCTACCTCAGATAACATATGCTAGAATGTGGTACACACTCAAATGCTGGCAGTTATAATTACTTTGAAACTGAAAAAAAAATTATATTTAGATATTTAGCAATAGTTCCAAGTCAGGACAAGTGTACTCCATGGCGTTACCTGAGTTACCTCAAGAACTCATAATCTAGTAAGGGAGACGGGCATTTTCCTTAAAATGGAAAACTGTTATGAGAGTTAACAAAGAGAGGTAGATTTAATATACCATGGGAAAACAAAGGAAGGAGAAATTAATTCTGATCTAGAAATGGTTCTTAAAAGTGTAAAGTGAACTGTGCCTTGAAAGCACAGTCAGATAGATTTCTTGGACCTTATTCTGGTCAGAGGTTCTCAATCTTGAACATGCATCAAAATCAGAGGTGGCTTATTAAAACACACATTGCTGGGCCCTATCCCAGACTTTCTGACTCAGTAAGTCTGGAGGGGAGGTGTGAGAATCTGCATTTCCCAGGTGATAATGATGCTAATAATGGTCAAGGGAACCCTCTCTGAGAACTATCATTCCAGACAGAGACAGTGCCTGAGCAAAACTGAGAGGTGCCAGAGGAACTGCAAAAACGGCAGTGTTGGAACTTGGGCTTTTGTGTGTGGTTAAGGAATATGGTCAGAAGTCTGGAAATGAAAATTTTCTAAATAAAACACCTTAGGATAAGTTACTCTTCCTAGGAAGGTGAGCTGACATTCAAGATTAAGTTAAAACTACTTAATTACCCTTCTGTGATACGACATTTATTATCTCTAAGGTGGCATCTTTTAACTCCACTCCCTACCCCCAGCTTTGCATCACACAGGTAAACATCAAGGTAATGAGGCCACAGTACATTTCGGGCCACAGAGCTACTTCAATGTACAAAGAATAGAAAAAAGTGTCACTCTGTTATTCTTTATAAACATAACACTAACACATCCGGAATTTTAATATTTTACCTAGAAAGCTATAGGTTAAAATTAAAAACAAAAAGATTGAAACTTATTCAATAGTTTTACTTACAAATTTTAAGAAATGCCCCATACTCACCAAAACCGTCAATATCTAGTTGATTTTCAACCACAACATCGAGCAGAGAATCACCAACTTTTCCTTTGGCTGTTATTGTTTCACCATCACGGTTTACAAAGTGGACTGTTATTTTATCTTCTGAGCTGGAAAAGAAAGAATGCATTTAGTATTTTTAGTAATTTCAAATATAACTTTAAATAAATGTTTAAGAACTTGTGAGGTCACAGAAATGGTGCACACGTGTGCATGTGTATAAATATGCTCTTTTTACAGTATTGTCTCTTCTTTCCAAAGTTTATTTGGGAAGAAGACACCACAAATCAAAGACATATCTATCCATCCACTTACTAGGTGACAAGCTCTACTCCTTAAAGGAAATGGCAATGACTACCTGGTCAAGGCCACCTGGTAGTCTGTACCATGTCTCTCCCCAGAGGTCAGTTATGTGAAAATGTGGTAATCACTATCACTTGTAAAGTCCATTTTACTCTTGCACAGCTCTGAAACACATGAATGTGTCCCTGAAAGTCTAGACCAGGGCTGTGGTGATGTGAGCTTTAAAAAAGCGAATCATTCTGCTATCAATAGGGCACCTGCTATACAGGTGCCTGACAGGATGCCACTGCTGAGACGCAGCAGTTTGACAGTTTTCCAAGTATCTGAACATCTCATTTCAGTCCACGCTATGTACTCAAAATTCAAAGGGACTAAGAAAAGTTTTTATTTGTTTCTCTGTATCTGTGGAAAGATGAATAAAATACCTCCTTACCTGTGGTTTTGGGGGGTTTTGTTTGTTTTGAGACAGGGTCTCACTCTGTTGCCTGGGCTACAGTGCAGTGGCGTCATCATAGCTCACTGTAACCTCCAAATCCTGGGTTCAAGCGATCCTCCTGTCTCAGCTCCCCAAGTAGCTGGGACTATAGGCATGTGACACCACACCCAGCT